AAAAAATAGGAAGTAAGTGGGAAAAGAGCAAGAATAGAAGAAAGCCTTGAGCTTTGTAAGGCAATTACAACAGCATTTTTATTACCTGACTCTAATTTCTATTTTCTTATTCCCTATTAAACTTATTCCAATATGCTTTTTTTCCTTCGCTATTAGTTTCTTAAGGGAGCCTTAACCAAGTACTAAATAAAATAACAAAAATTCATTCTTTGAAAGTTCTTAAATCCAGGAGTCTGAAATTAAGGTGTTTGGAGGGTCATGTTCCTTCTGAAGGCTCAAACTGAGAAAATTTTGTTGCATCTTCCAGTTCCTGTTTTAAAGCAATTGCTCAACATATGAATTGCTTTTCCTTTCAGAAGTACTTGCAAAACAAATTATGTGGCTATGCTAACTTGAAGCAGGATCTAACATAGCTGATCACTTTCCTCTTTCTAATAATTTTTTCTTTATTCCCATGACAATTCAGATTTATACACATAGCTGGTTGCTCCATATTCCCACTTGATGACTAACAGAAAAGCAAATTATGTTAATAACTGAACATCTGACATATATAAATGCTACTAAATCTGTGGTATATTTAGTTTCCTGCATTTAAAAGGGGTAGTGGAGCTAAACTTTACTATGTTTGAACAAAGTCTAGAAAAAAAAAGTCCATCACACTTACAGATAAAAAGTGTTGTAAACAATACAGTTAGTACAAAGGCGTGAGGGAGAAGTATGTATTTTGTCTGCTTAGCACAGCAAAGAGGCCAGTATGGCTGGGAAAGAATGGGCAAAGATACAAGGGTATTAGAGAGGCCAGAACACCACAGGGACATTTAGCCTGTAATGGAGAATTTGACTTTGACTCTGGAACTTTGTAGCATTTTTTGAAATTGCTTTTTCCTGAGAGAGAGGTAAGCCTCTCTATTAACATACATAGAAAATTGCAAAAGTCAAAGTCATAGAAATCAATAAATTTTCATACATTAAATATGCCCATAATAACCAGAAACCATATCAAAATATTATCAACTTCCTACAATTTCCACTCAGGCCTCATTCCAATCATTAGTCATATATCAAGACTCGAAGATTAAAACCTATCCTGACTGCCTACATTACAGAAGAATGCATAAGTATAGATAACTGTAATAAATAAATCTTAAGTAATTAAATATAGATAAATAGGATCGTGCAGTGCACACACTGTTCAGTCTGAATTCTTGGGCTCAATTTGCTCAGACTGAACGGGAATTAAAAAGGCTCCTCAAGAAGAGCAATAGAGCTGGGAATTAAATAAGAAAACTTTTGGAGGGGATAGAACTATTCTATACCCTAATGGTGATGGTGGTTATGAGTGTAATTATATGGATAGCATTTCATTAATGAATTTAAATTAAATCTAAATTTATCTCTTAGCAGATCATATCTAGAACTGAGCTGGGTTTTGTTTCTCTGTAATATTTTGGTGATTTAGGCTCAAAAGTTTAGCATCTCAACTGATGATTTAATATTCTATCATTTTACAAGAAACTCACGAGCTTTGTCAGTCAAATCTCGGAACTGCAACAAAACTCAGAACCCTACACCTAGGAAGAATGACTTTGACCACGTAAATTACACCTCAGCCAGCCTATATTGAAGAATAAAATCCATTTTAGGTCTGGGTGATCATTGATAAATCAAGACAGCTTTAGAAATCCAGCAGCAGGCATTTTTTTTCATTTTTATTCTTCTGTTTTACTATTCATGTGCCTCAAGGATTTCTCTTCTATAAACTATTTTCTGTGTCTTGCAGCTGATTATCTGGTTAACTTTTGATGATTCTCATTTCAGACTCTTGAATGTTTGAATTGTCTTTTCCTATTCATTTGCAGGCTCTTACTTTACAATAGTTTTTAGTGTTCCTGTCTCACCCAGCTGCATCCTAATGGTTTACCAACACACATCCTGATGCCCAAAATGGCTTCCTAGTGTCAGGCTATGCATGAGATAATTTTACATGCCAGCAGCTGTGTTTGTGGCAATCACTGGAATTAACATGTTCAGGGCCGGGAATTTAGCTCAGTGGTTCTGCCGCCCACTTTGAAAGCGCAAGGACCCGAGTTCGATCCCAGTACCAAAAAATAAATAAGTAAATAAAATAAAAAATAACATGTTCAGTACACTAATGGATTTTCAAGTTTCACTATTACCCTAAATAAAACATAAATGAGGCTGATGGTTTAGCAAACACCATAGCCTTTTATATGATGATAAGGCCTTTTCTGTTATCATTCTTCCTCACCATTTGCAGTTACTTTCCGTTGATTTTATCCTCAGAGTTTTGACTGACAAAGCTCGTGAGGTTTCTTATGAAATGATAGAATATTAAATCATCAGTTTAGATGCTAAAATTTTGAGCCTAAATGACCAAACTATTACAGAGAAACAAAACCCAGCTCAGTTGCAGCTATGATCAGCTAAGGTATAAATTTAAATTAAATTTAAATTCATTAATGAAATGCTACACATATAATTACCCCAAACTCAGAAATAGCTATCACTTGTCATTTTGATTACTTTTGATTAATGTATAATTGAAAAAGAACATTTTTGAGGCCTTGGTTCTTCACTCTAATTTGTGTTTGGAAGTAGGCTTATTTTTCCCTATCTGTAATTCTCTATAGCAATAGGTTAAAAAATGAAAAAAAAAAACATATAATCACCACTGCTATTTTGTCTGCAAGGCAAGGAAAAATAAGTTTAAATTATATTTCTCATCTATTCAACAAAGATGATTTAAATTTATGCTGTGCAGAAGATGTCATGCTGGTAATGGCAGGCACGGCTTCTGCTCTCCCACTGGAGGGATCCAGTGGGCCTGAGTAATAAGTCAGTCACTCTGCAAATTGAAATTCGATATGCTGCAGGAGTGCAGGAGAAGGAGCAATCAATTCTGGCTTAGTAAGTAAAGGAAGGCTTCTGAATTGGGTCTTCAAAGATAAGTGGGATCTTAAGTGGGGGAAATGGAAGAAAGATACTCCGAATGGAGGTGAAAAAATAAACAAAGACAAGAAATGATTAGGCATTTTCAGAGAGAGGAAAATGATGCAATGTGGCTTCCATGAAATGTGCGTAAGAAGTTTTTATCTATAGAGAATTTAGGTTGTATAATGAAAGATATTAAACCTCCTATAGCTTTCCAATCTTGGTTATTCGTTTTATGTCTCTCTTCTCCCTTAGATCCTATCTCAGGGAGGTAAGTACCACATTTTATCTTTTTAATCACCAGAGCCTAGCACAGAGCCTTGAACATATTGGGCAATTATATTTTATATATAAGACATTAATATCTACTAAATGAATGAGTTAATGTTATGTTAATGATTTTCAGTTACTTCACACTGCATATAAAATATCCAATGATACAGAAAGAAATGAATACTTTTGAAAAACAAAAGAAGTAAAATGACTAAAGACATTCTTTAAAAACAGGAAGTAAAAGCCAGGCATGGTGTCACCTACCTGTAATCCCAGCACTCAGGAGGCTGAGGCAGGAGGATCACGGTGAGCTGGAGGCCAGCCTGGGCTCCACAGTGAGTTCAAGGCCAGCCTGAAATTCATAGAAAAACCCTGTCTCAAAAAACTCAATCAATCAGTCAATCACATAAAAATAAAAACAGAAAGTAAGACTCATAAAATGAATTTGAAAGAGGCAGGAGAAACTGAAAGGAAGCAGATTAGTCAGAATATATTATAATATTCAAACAAGAAATTCAGAGTAAGTGAGATGAAAATTGAATACAACAGAGGAACTAAAATGTTTTACCAGAAGTAGAATCAATAGGATTGGCCATGCAATTCTTTGAGGGAGTGAGGTGTTTTAAATAAGGATAACCATGAAGGTAATATTCATTGAAGATGGAAACAATAGAAAGAGATTCATTTGGACAGACCCTTAGGTGCTCACTTTCCAAGACTTAAGTCATGGTAAAAATAGAAGGAAATGTCAAAAACGGAGGATGGAATTATTTCAATTGCTAAAAAATAATCAGATCAAACTTAACAGAAAATTTGAATGTTCTTTTATTGTGGCTTACTTATAATCCTAAAGTAGAATTTAGAAACCTGTATTTTATTGTTCTTGCTTTCATTTTGTATATTTTATTAAAGTCAAGACAATCTTATATGAGAATAGATTTCACTTTTATAATAAATAGGTGTATTTCCTAAGCACTTTCTCTTTCAATAATTGCAGTCTTCTAATGAAGTATCTTCCATAAGGAGAATTGGTACCCAAACCACTAAGTACTACTGTGAACTAAAACTAACTTAGCATTTCATGTGCGTGTGTGTGTGTGTGTGTGTGTTGTGCATCTTCTTCATTTTCCTGGTCATTGAGAGAAAATTTCAGGCACAACCAAAATGTAAAGAAAGAGAGGTTTATTTTGGCTCATATTTTCAGTCTCAATTTTTGCATGGTTGGCAGCATGATGGAAGGGCCTGGGCAGAGGACATCTGCTCACTTCAAAGCAGCCAGGAAGCAGAGAGCAAAGGGTGCGATCAGGGAAGGGGATATATACCATTCCAAGTTGTAATTCGAGTGACCTGCCTCTTCCAACCATTGCCCTATAATCCAATGCCTTCCGAAAGCCCCTTCTCTGAGACTTTGGGGGGAAAATCTAGATATAAACCATAAAATTCTGCCTTTGTCCCCCAAAAGACTCATGTGCATCTTTTTATGCAAAATGCATTTAGTTTATCCAAATTCTCTGAGACAAAGCAAACTCTTAGACAAGGTAAAAATCAAAAGGAAAGCAAAACACTGCCAATGCACAATGGCACAGACTAAACATTCTTATTCACAAAAGGAAGGAGTAAAGCAATAGAAAGGAAACAGACAAAGCAAGACTGATAACCAGTAAAACATATGTTATATCCTGTAGCTCCAGGTCTGATACTCTGGGCAAAAGCTTAGGTGGCCCTTCCCTTTGGCACTACTGGTTACAGCCACTAATGCCTCTCTTAGGGCTCCACTCACTACTGCAGCTTTCCTCAGAAGACATTCCATCTCTCCAGCTTCTCCACTTTCCACTGTATTTTCAGCTTCTCATCTATTTATTTATTTATTTATTTACTTACTTATTTATTTTGGTGCTGGGAATCAAACTCAGAGCCTGTGCTTGCTAGGCAGGTGCTGTGCCACTGGGTTACATTCCTGGCCCACACTTAACACTTATTGGATTTAAGCAGATGTTGTTAGGTGGGATCTCTAGGTATGTATCCTAAGAAGTGAATTGACTCACTGGTGGGGGCTTTTTTTTTTTTTGTCTTACAGTTCCTTCTTCCTGAGGTAAAGATTTAATACTTCGTGTGAGTCAGCCTTCGTGTGAGAGATGATGAACACGTGGTGTGGATGACCATAAGGAAAGAACCTGGGTTGTGTTGACATTGTGGAACTCTTCATGCCTCCGTAACAGCTTGCACTGGGGACTTCATATGAGAAAAAAAGTAAGTCTTCCTCGTTTATTTATAAGACACTGTATATTTGTTGTTTGTTTTGCAATGAGCTTTTACTAGTAAATGAACTTACTCCTTTTAAATTATAACAATCACAGTTTAAGATGTATGGCATTCATTTCTGCTTTCTAGGATCTCAATAATTTGTTTATACATGAACTTAGGGGTACTTGTGGGTATTCAAAGTATTTGAATAAATGTGTCTAAGCTTGATGACATGTCAAATAGAAAGTGTATTTTTAAAATATTGAATGTACTCACTGTGCATTTCCATAGGTTTTCTCATTTTAGCCTGGCTTTCTAGAAATCACACTCTGCTCCCTTTTCCATACCTTTCAGCAAACACAGCCATTCTCCAAACTAACCCAGTGTGCTGAACAGAGCTCGGTGGCCCAACATGAATTTCACATCCCAGGGGGCCCAGTCAGGTGCCTTGCTGGGCAACTGAGAGGTGGAGCTGAGGAATGTATCTCTCTCTGGATGACTGGATGTGAACTCCACTGGAGGTGAAGTCCAGAAGGAGGCAAAGACTAAGTTTGTTGCACAGTGGACATAAAGGAGGTATCCTTGTAGATAGGGTCGTGAAACCAATAGAAGAAAAGAGAGAGAGCACGGCATTTGCATATGTAGATCTCATAAAGCATACTATTATCTCTTAAGAATGCCAAAAAGGTCTGAAGTTCCCTAACACATGTATGTGATATATTTTAGAGCTAGAATACTAATTACCCTGATTTGATTATTATATGTGCATACATGTATAGAAATGATATATAATACTTCCTAATTATGTCAATATAATTTTAAAATTTAAAAATGTCTTCCTTTGTCTATATAATTTTTTATTTAAACTCCTAAGCTCTTGCCATCCCAAAAAAGCCTTATTTGAGTGGAAAATGTAATTAAGAGAAAAATGCTTCAAGTAACAGACTAAAACAGAATGGGCCTGTTAAGGATATAGTAGGGGAAAGTGAACATACCTGACTTTTATTATGATGTGAGCAGTCCTGATTAGTCATATTAGTGAGACTGGCTAAAGCACCATTTACTGTCTGTATTCAAATTTTTGTAAATATAGAGAGCAGAACACTTCAATTCACACTGGCAGACTGTCTCACTTTGGAAATTTGTTAGCAATTTTTGAGCTAAATGTAACCCACTACCTGATTTTCTAGATCAAGATTAATCGGAACACACCTGTATCTGTCTGTTTTGGTATTGTCTGTTGCTGCTTTCACATCACAAGGCAAAGTGAATCAGTGGTCACAGAGACTCTTTGGCCAGCAAAGCCTAAAATATTTACAATCTCACTCTTTACAGCAAAACTTTTCTGACCCATGGAGTAAACTGAGACAAGAAAGCAGAAAGAGACAGAGTAAGGTGACCCTTCAAAGAAAGGCGAGGCGAACAGGACAACATGGCCACAGAAGGAAAAAAATGAAACTCATGTGCATAAAGCATGAAGACGAAATTACTAGGTATTTGTAAACTGGCTTCAAATTTGCTCATGAATCTGAGTACCTATCTCCTTTTTGCTCTGCGAGAACACATGAATATTTTAATACATTTCCTCTTCTGTGCTTAAATCAGTTTGAATTGGATTTCTGTGGCCAAGAACCCTCACTTATATAGATACTGCCGATTCTATGAGCACAGAATCAGAACATCTGAATTTAGGTTACAACACGGACACTGCTTCTGTAAGGGAAATTTCTTGAAGAGCCTCACCTATGAAGGGTGCTAATGAAAACATCTGTTCTTTTCTATCAGTTTGTTATGATGATGAAAGGAGACTACTAGTTTTAAACATCAGACATGGGCATGATTTTGTGCAGTGATTCCTACAATGGGTTCTGCAGGGTCAGACATTGGCTTCCAAATTTTGTGGGTAGTTTGACATTTTGCTCTATCACTTATTATTTATATGATCTTCAACAAATTATTTCATTTCTTGAAGCATCAGTGTTCCTTTCTGTGAAATATAGCTAACAATTAGATCTTGTGACAAATAAGAAAAAGAAATTTAAAATATATAGTATTACAAGAAGGGCTCATTATTCATTAGCTGTAATTTTTATTAAAGACAGATTGAATAAAGAAAAAGACAATACACTTTCCTTCTACCTTTTAAAGGTTGTTAATAGAAATTAGTGATGCTTACTTAAAAGAAAAAATGACTCATTTCTTAGTCCTACTCTGATATTACCTAGCAACATATAGTCAAGTTAAGTATTCTGACTGTACCTGTCTCTAGGCATAGTGAGTGCTGGACTAATGAAAACAATCTTTCACTAAAATTTTGCAATAAGAGATCATTTTGCAACCTAAACAACTACCTTTTAAATATTTAAGCACATGCTAATTTTCTATTAAATCAATTAAGTTGTTCCCCCCACTCCTTCCAATTAAACAATGAGTTGCTAAAATATAAGATTTATCTAAGATTAAGAAAAAAAAGATATACTAAAGCATCTTAAGGTTGATTTAAATAAATAGTCACTGAAGTTGACTATCACCACAGCTTACTGCATTATACCTATATCAATAATGGTTATGATTCCCACACTAGGACTGTATGGGTTTTGTATGCAAAATAATTCAATAATGAGAAGCTTTTTTTCTTTTTTATTATGAAAAGAAACTGTCTCAATTTCTTGCTCAGAATAACATTTTTAAAATACCTTGGAAACATTCAATGTCATTGTAACTATTACTGGAGCTCTAATAAAATCAATATTAATTTATGTCTAAAACTTGCTGCATTTAAATTTAGAAGAGATAACATTCAAACTAGGAGAAACAAATAATAACGCAGAATAACATAGTGGTAATAAAACTATGATTTACAATTCTGCAGGTTTAAAATAGGAAACAACTCTAGTACAGAGTTTGGCTTGATTTTAGAAAACCAGGAAGATTGTCAAGAAATAGAATTAAACTAAGTAAATGAATTTATTTATTCCCTTTGCCCCTTAAGTTTGTCAGGTGGTGAAGAAGGTCAAGATCGTTGTCAGTTATGTTACAGCGTCCATGTAACAGATTTTCTCCTTTTCCAATATTCTAGTTTAGATCACACTAGTTTAAAAGAATGCAGATTAAGCCCAGTAAGTAAGAGGAAGACACTTATTTTAAATATACACAGGAATCTCTTGAAATTCGAAGAAAGGAAAAGCAAATCAAAATAGGAATCAAGTCTTTGGGATTTTATTTCTCAATCAAATTTCCCTCTGCAAATCTTCTTTGTTGCTCTAACCTGGTTCCCTCGCTGTTTGTTCCATGCTGTGAAATATGGCTACCTTGTAGAAGTCCAGTTTACAGTTCTGGTCACATGTAGACAACGGAGAGCTTTGAAATTTTGCATCCCAATGCCTGGGAGAGAGAATCTCGCTGACCTAGCTTGAGACTGTATTTATTTCCTAATGGAAGCTGGGTGACAAAACATGATTCTGGCTACCAGGAGCTATCCCTATGGATCAGGAATCCATGACAAGAATTTTACAAAAACTGGTCAAACTCATCCCTCTTCCTCTGAAAATGAAATGCAGTTTTTGGCAGAGACAGTATACTCAGTAACTGTCACAGACACCTCAGGCACATAGAGTACTTCACTGCCCTTTTGCCAACAAAAGGCATTCATTTTCCTATCTGAAAAGCTGCATTCTTTTTTTTCCATTAAATTTATTGGTACATTTTAGGTATAAAATACAGTTACATTCATCATTGGGAACTTGTACCTTTACATGATGTATCTTGATTCTTATTTTTTCCCCATTCCCCTGCCCTCCCTATTTACAAAGCCTGTTTCCATTTTTTCCTTTTCTCATATTTTTCCTTTCCCCTACCCTTCCCACTTCCCCTACCCCTTTTGACCTTTTCTTCCTATTTCACATTATGAATTATACATTTTGATCCTTATTTACACTTTTAGTTTCTCACATCAGAGAAACTATTCGGTATTTGCATGTGTGTCCTATTTATTTCACTTTAGAGTATGGCCTCAATATGCATCCATTTAGCTATAAATGTCTCTAGTTTCTCATTCTTTATGGCTAAGTAGTACTCTATTTTATTAAAAAAAAAACACATTTTCTTTATTCAGTCTCCAGTTGCTGGGCACTTGGGCTGTTTCCAAGCTTTGGCTATTACAAACTGTGCTGCTATAAACATGGGTGTGCATATATCACTGTAGTATGATTCTTTTAATTCTTTGGGGAAAGAAACAGAGGAATAGCTGGGTCAAATGGGACACTCTTTTCTAGAAAAATTCTTTAAAGCCTAAGTATTCAAAATCAGACATGTAACACAGTTGGATGCTTAGCTGAAAAATGTGTGCTTGTAAATTTAAGGAGGAATTGGAAAGAGGCAAGAAGAGCCAACACAGGAGCTCACAGGTACCTGTGAGACAGGCTGTCTTCTGTAGAAGACAATCTCTACTGAGTTCCAGCCAATTGTGCCTTTCAGGAATGCAGAGTGTCATTCGACTTTTTGATTTTTCTACCATTCCTGAGATCCTTAGATGAAATGTTCCCATTTGAAAATTTTGTGAGGAATCACTCAATCAAAAGATGAGGAGAGCAATAATATGTGTGGGCTCTGAATGTAGCTCATTAGCCACTAGTGTGTGAATTTTGATACAGATGTTTATAAAACAAATGGTTGAGGGAATGGATGAATGAATTGTCTTCCTTTGGTAATTCTGATTGCTTATTACAACAAAAATTCTAACCAAGTCCTTTGAAAATATTCATGTATCAGGATGAACTTTCTAAATGCAATTAAAAATTTCAGCAGCTTATAATGGAAGTAAGTTTAGCTGGTAATCTAAGATTATCTCTTGCATGAACGCAGGTCACAGAGCAATTCAAGCTAGGTTAACCTATTGATTATAAGTCAACCAATACAAATCCATTGCTCATCATAATGCTTAGAGAGACTGAGCCCTGATAGTGAAAATAAAACTTCTCATCAAAGAAAATACATGGAATACAGTTGGTGCTGAATCCTTAGTAACTTGCCTTTTAGGCCAGTGGATCATGAATAGCTTTGTGACTGTTCCAATAGGTGTCAGCATAGTTCCACCTGAGCTGTTCTAACAAAATAATATGGCACAGCTTCCCATTTCACCTACAAACTAGAGAAGAGTTATCTCAGATGGGGAAATTATCTCCCCAAATATAATAGTTTGGCAATATTTCTGCTTTGAGGAATAAAGGTGAACTGATATTTTCAAGGGTGGCAAACTTAGAACATTGTTGAATAAAATAGTTTGGATAATTTGCTTGGAAGAATCCTGTTCTTGTATAACTAAGAGGTTGACATATTGTAACTAAGCTTCCATTTTAATTACCAGCCAAATCTCAGAGCACATTAGCATTTAACCCATGAACAATATATCTTGTGAAAAACCTTTCCCTTTGGGATTACATCTTGTAATTCCTAGCTGACATCTTCCCCATACATTATGGCAAGGGAAATGACATTCCTAATGAGTGTACTTGTATCATGTCTTGTAGGATCTGACTCTGTCTGACACCTTGCAAGGGGTTCAACATGAGAATTCAAAGGAATAAGGTGGCCCCGAGGAGAAGTTCTATTTGAGGAAGGCTATTTTTTTCTGGTGTCATTTTTCTTTCTTTCAGACGAAGAAATATCTACATAGAAATCAAATTGAAACCTGTGAATGTTAATAATGTCTTTTCATTATCGGGAACATC